TTTAAAGGCTGTCCCTCTTCCCTTCGCCTTTCTGGTCCAGGACTTGCCCCAGCCAAGGCCGGGTTGGGTGGTGGAAGGAGTGGAGGCTGCAGTGAGCAGCTGCGGTCAGAGGCGAGTTCAGGCGGCACTTTCTTCTCTCTGCGCTGGACCCAGACATGCTCCACAAAGCCGCGGAAGAACCGAACTTGGTCCTCGCGGAAGTGCGCAGCTCAACGACTCCAACCCCGCTCGCTGCCTCCTTCTGCTCGGTGGCCCCACGGCCTTCCCCAGGGGCGAGCGCCAACGCCCCAGGGTCGCGGATACACAACCTACCCCCTGCACCGCCCCGCCTGTGTCCCCAACTCGAGCCACACCTGGCTCCAATAGATTCTCCCCAGCACTCAAATTTGGGTGAAGTGTTACGTTTCGCGGGGAGGGAGCAGACGAAGCCAGGAGGCTCTGCGCAGCTGCCTCGGTAGTGGCGACGGCTGCAGGGATTTGGCGTCATTTACCCGGCAGGCGCGCACCTGAGCAGGACCCGGGCCTAGCGGGCCAGCTGGGAGCCAGAGCCAGAGGCTCAGTAGACCTGCGTGGGCCGAGCGCCCGCAGCCGGATCCAGCAGTGTCCTGGGACCGGTGAGGGCAGCGGGTCCTCCTGGGAAGGGTCCCTTCGGATCCCGCATCCCCACTCTGAGCTGCCTGCTAGCCGGCTAGAAACGGCTGGAGCTACGCAGCTGCGGGCCATCATGGCCAGCCTACAGCCTTGGAGCACCGCTCAGGGAGGACTCCTTCTAAAGGACAAGTGGGCGCTGATGGAGTACCTGGGCTGTCCCCACAGTGCCTGCCCGGAGCGCACCTTCACCTGGGAGCTTCCTTGTCCTCCTGGGAACCCCTGTCCAGAATCACTCTCCCCAGGGCTTCTGGTTGGCCTCGCTTTCTTCCTTCAGCCCCCTAATCCAGCAAGAGCAATGGAGAGCCCTGCCAGGAGCAGGCCTGGGCTGCCAGTGCAGCTCCCATGGTACCAATGCACAGTTGACCAGAGCAGGGCAATGGCGGCCTATGAGAGGTGACTTGGGTTGAGCCTCTGACCACACAGTCCTGGTCCTGCTGCACAGACTGCCAATAAAGAGGAGTCCAAGCTCCGTGGCTCCCCTGCAGTGTCCCCAAAAGGGAAGCCGAGGCTGTGGGTGAGTGGGTGATGCCAGTGGTCCAGGCTCCAGTTCCACTTTGCACAAAGGCCTTCCTACACTTTCACCAAAAATAATTCTGCAAGGACATCTGCCCAGCAACCACCTGTCCAGCCTCAGACTGCTGTCACTCATATCCTTGATTATTGTAGCCAAGGATAAATAACTCGAAACTGTTGGCCAGGTTGGTGGCTGATGCCTGTAATCCCAGCACTTTGGGTGGCCAAAGTGGGTGGATGACTTGAGGTCAGGAGTTCGAGACCAGTCAGAGCAGCATGGTGAAACCCCCATCTCTAGTGAAAATACAAAAGTAGCTTGGTGTGGTGGCACAGGCCTGTAATCCCAGCTACTTGTGGGAGGCTGAGGCAGGAGAATCCCTTAAATCTGGAATCTGAAGCAGTTTTTTGTTTGTTTGCTTGTTTTTGATTTTACATAGCTTCGCTTTTGTTGCCCAGGCTGGAGTGTAATGGTGCAATTTCAACTCATTGCAACCTCCGCCTCACAGGTTCAAGCAATTCTCCTGCCTCAGCCTCCTGAGTAGCTGGGATTACAGGCATATGCCACCACGACCAGCTAATTTTGTATGTTTTATTAGAGATAGGATTTCTCCATGATTGTCAGGCTGGTCTCAAACTCCCAGCCTCAGGTGATCCACCCACCTTGGCCTCGCTGGGATTACAGGAGTGAACCACTGTGCCCAGTCTGGAGGTTTCTTTAAAAAAACAAACAAACAAACAAAAAAAACTGAACTATCTAACCCAAAATTTTGGAGCACTGCCCTCATAAGATTGCTTATATAGACTAATGATTTTTTTTTTTTTTTTTTTTTTTTGAGATGGAGTTTTGCTGTTGTTGCCCAGGCTGAAATGTAGTGAAGCAATCTCAACTCACTATAACCTCTACCTCCTGGGTTCAAGCGATTCCTGAGTTCAAGTGATTTTCCTGCCTCAGGCTCCCAAGTAGTTGGGATTACAGATGCCTGCCACCACGCCTCGCTAATGTTTATATTTTTAGTTGAGACAGGGTTTCAACATCATGGCCAAGCTGGTCTCAAACTTCTGACCTCAGGTGATATGCTTCCCTCCACCTCCCAACGTGCTGGGATTACAGGTGTGAGCTATGGTGCCTGGCCCTGAAAATCTTAAAGTTTGGCTTTGGGACCACTCCCATTTTCTTAGAAATCTCATTTGGATCCAACTGTGTTTTATAAACCTGTGAGTTCATATTACAATGTTTTGCTAACTCAGGACTAAAATTATAAAATAAAAGCTGTAAGGTCTTATTTGTGTGTTTGTCTATGCGTGGATGTTTTCGCATGCTGCATGTTGTGTCTCTAAGTTAAATCTGGCATAGTCAGCCAGAAATCCCTGAAGGAATTCTATTCAGGTTGGCTGGACACGGTGACTCATGCATTATGAGAGGCCGACGCCAGCAGATCACTTGAGGCCAGGAGTTAGACCAGCCTGGCCATGATGGTGAAACCCCATCTCTAATAAATATACAAAAATTAGCCATGCTGTGGCTCATGGCTGTAATCCCAGGTACTCAGGAGGCTGAGGCAGGAGAATTGCTTGAACCCGGAAGCAGAGGTTGCAGTGAGCCAAGATTGTACCACTGTACTCCAGCCTGGGTGACAGACTGAATCTCCATCTGGGGGAAAAAAAAAAAGATCACTTTCTATTATTCTCCACCCACAGCACCAAACCCTGCCCCCAACCACCTCGGTTCTCACCAGAAACCCAAATCCCTCCCTCTCTGCTGCTTATATCCCCACGCTAATCCACTCTCCACACAGCGGCCAAAGCCAACACTTGAAAACCTGATGATGGCCGGGCGCGGTGGTTCAAGCCTGTAATCCCAGCACTTTGGGAGGCCGAGGCGGGTGGATCAAGAGGTCAAGAGATCGAGACCATCCTGGTCAACATGGTGAAACCCCGTTACTGCTAAAAATACAAAAAATTAGCGGGGCATGGTGGCGTGTGCCTGTAATCCCAGCTACTCAGGAGGCTGAGGCAGGAGAATTGCCTGAACCCAGGAGTTGGAGGTTGCGCTGAGCCAAAATCACGCCATTGCACTCCAGCCTGGGTAACAAGAGCGAAACTCCGTCTCAAAAAAAAAAAAAAAAAAAAAAAAAAAAAAAAAAAAAAAAACGTGATGGACTTTGTCTCTCTTCAACTTGAATCTCTCTCACCACCATCCTTTCCTATCAAAAGCAAAAAAGACACAAGTAGATTGCCCAAGGCCACACAGCAGGACACGCAGAGGCAGGATTCAAAATCCGCTAGTCTTCACAGTCCACGTGTCGTGTCTCATCCACCCACTATCCCACCTTGGGTGATCCCAGAAAAGGGTCAGCCACTGCCCTAACACAGGGTGATCTCAGACAGAGACAGACGTTTTCTCCTCCCGTCGCCACCTCACCTCCTTCATCAGCCTAGCTCCTAGTAATCCCTCATTCTCAGCTCCAACCACACTTTCTAGAAAGGGCCTTCCTAGCCCTTGTCCTAGTCCAGAAACTCCCCACAATTTGATGGTCGGTGCTTCGTACATCTCTCAAGACATTCCTCTTCCGCTAGATTGTGCCCTCCACGAGGACACAGCTCTGTTTTGCCCACCCACCAGCACTCTGCTTCCTCTCCAGACACACTTCTCCTGAATGTGGGCCCAGATTGGTGGCTCAAGTCTGCAATCCTAGCAGTGCTGGAGGATCACTTGAACCCAGGACTTCAAGACCAGCATGGGTACCACAGGGAGATCCTGCCTCTCAAAAACATTAAAAATGAGCTGCGTGTAACGTAGATACATGGGAGGCTGATGTGGGAGGATCGCTTGAGCCCGGGAGGTGTGTCGTGACTGCACCGCTGCACTCCAGCCAGACCCTGTCTCAAAAACATAAATTAGTAATAAAAACCAGAAAGAAAAAAAGTGATGGGGGGATATGTGAACTGGAGAAATACTTTCTAAGTCAGCCTGAGGCTATGAAAACATCAGAGCCCCATGTGAGAGGCTACAGCTCTGGGTGTGCCCAGGGCCCATGGAAAACAGACTCGCCCCAGGCTCCATCTACCTGTGCAAGGGAACAGGGGTCAACGTCAAGTGCACAAGTTGCTATGGAAGACGCAGCCCAGGCCTGGCTGGCCCAGGGCGCTGGACTCTACCCCACCTGCATCATCCAAACATCAGTGCGAGTGCACCCACAAACACACAATCACACACAACATGTGAGCAATGGGCGAGACTGGCCTGGCCCCGCTCAGTGTTATCACCATTGACCCACAGGGGCTCACAGCCCTGGAGCTCTGGGCCCAGATTTCTGCCAGCCCCACCTATCCAGGCTAGGGACAGATGACGGAGCAAGGGGGTGCCAGGGCAGCAAGGCCCCCACGTGCTCCCTTCCCACATGGCCCAGGCTTTTGGCATCAGGACGCTAAACCCAGGCCCTGGCGCGGGCTGTGTGCCTCCAGCTTCCCCTCCTCTCGGCACCAGAACAGAGCCTGGCCCCAGCTCCCAGGAAATACAGAAATCAATGGGTGAATGAGCGAGTGACAGGGTGTCTTGTTCCACACAAGACAATGAGCAGGGGTAGGGGACGGGCTCCTGGCTGCAGGAGGAACACCACACTCACCCAGATGGCATCTGCACCCAACACCCACCCTTCCCTCGGGGACGCCTGGTCCCACCTTGAGCCGCCTGCTTCAGGACCCCAGCCCAGCCCAGCCACGCCCTGCCACTCCCTTGAGACAGTGTGGCTTCAATTAAGAGGTTGGGTGGGGTCAAGGTGGCAACAAGGGGAGGGCCCGGGACAGTTCTCCTGGATTTAAACCCAGGCGGCCTGGAGTGCAGCTCCTACTCCATACCCGGTATTCCCGCCTCACCGCTCTCCTGCTATCCCCAGACATGCAGGGACCCTGGGTGCTGCTGTTGCTGCTGGGCCTGAGGCTACAGCTCTCCCTGGGCATCATCCCAGGTAATGAGGCTCCCCCCGCTGCCCCTACACACAGGGAGCCCCCCAGCCCAGGCTGACCTGATCTTTGCTCTCCCCCTGGCCAGTTGAGGAGGAGAACCCGGCCTTCTGGAACCGTCAGGCAGCCAAGGCCCTGGATGCCGCCAAGAAGCTGCAGCCCACACGGACAGCCGCCAAGAACCTCATCCTCTTCCTGGGCGACGGTGAGTGAGCAAGGCTGTCCGGCCCGCAGCCCTCGCAGCCCTCGCAGCCCTGGCACCCGGACCGTCGGGGCTTCCGGGACAGCCCTGGGGCCCAAGCCTCACACATTTCTGCTCCCTCAGGGATGGGAGTGTCTACGGTGACAGCCGCCAGGATCCTAAAGGGGCAGAAGAAGGGCAAACTGGGGCCAGAGACGCCCCTGGCCATGGACCGCTTCCCATACGTGGCTCTGTCCAAGGTGAGGGCTGGGCCACCTCGGAGTCCTCCAAGCAGAGAAGAGGAATCCTGGCTATGGAGGGCGGGAGGAGGCAGGGACCCTAAGCTGCTGGGGCTGGAGTAAGAGCTGGAGGCGGCTGCAATCCCAGAGGACAGAGATCATGGTCTGGGTCTGGGTGTCCGCCCCAGAGAAGAGCCCAGAGTGTCTCTGTCCCCAGACATACAGCGTAGACAAGCATGTGCCAGACAGCGCAGCCACAGCCACGGCCTACCTGTGCGGGGTCAAGGGCAACTTCCAGACCATCGGCTTGAGCGCAGCGGCCCGCTTTAACCAGTGCAACACGACCCGCGGCAACGAGGTCGTCTCTGTGATGAACCGGGCCAAGAAGGCAGGTGAGCTGGGGCCCGCTGCGGGGTCAGGGCCGGGTTACAGACCTCTGTCGCATACCCTGACCTCTGTTCCCCCTCAGGGATGTCAGTGGGAGTGGTGACCACCACACGGGTGCAGCACGCCTCCCCAGCCGGTACCTACGCGCACACGGTGAACCGCAACTGGTACTCGGACTCCAACATGCCTTTCTCCGCCCGCCGGGAGGGCTGCCAGGACATCGCCACGCAGCTCATCTCCAACATGGACATTGACGTGAGACCCCAAGGCCAAGGGCTGGGGCTGGGAAGGCAGTAGCAGGGGACACCAGCTGAGACCCAGGCAACCAACAGCCTGATGGGGCCAGCAGGGTCTGGAGGTGGGATTGGGGGGGCAGAAGGTGCAGTCCAGGCTGGGCCCTTCCCAAAGCTCTAGGGAGAAGAGCCAGGGGCTGTGCATGAGGAGGAGGCACGGGGCTAGCCCGACCCCAAACCCACCCGCCCCATCCTCTGTCCCCAGGTGATCCTTGGTGGAGGCCGAAAGTACATGTTTCCCATGGGGACCCCAGACCCTGAGTACCCACGTGACTACAGCCAGAATGGGACCAGGCTGGACGGGAAGAACCTTGTGCAGGAATGGCTGGGGAAGCACCAGGTGATGGGGGCTGGTGGGTGTGGGGGGCACAGCAGGGGGAGTGCAGGGGCGTGGGGCTCGGGGCTGTGGGCTGAGGCCTGGCTGTGTCCCTGCAGGGCGCCCGGTACGTGTGGAACCGCACTGAGCTCATGCAGGCTTCCCTGGACCCGTCTGTGACCCACCTCATGGGTAATGACCCCCTTCCTGCCCTGGCAACCCTCGTATGGCCTCAGATGGCATCTTCCGAGCCTGTGTGCAGGTCTGCCAGCACCCTCCCACCCCCAGCCTGACAGTCACCACGGGACCCCTTGTCCCACAGGTCTCTTTGAGCCCGGAGACATGAAATATGAGATCCACCGAGACTCCACACGAGACCCCTCCCTGATGGAGATGACGGAGGCCGCCCTACGGCTGCTGAGCAGGAACCCCCGAGGATTCTTCCTCTTTGTCGAGGGTGTGTGATGGCGCCTGGGGAGTGGGAGTCGGGGGTTGGAGCAGGGCAGTTTCAAGCATCACCCCCCTCTGGCCTTCCTGCAGGCGGCCGCATCGACCACGGTCATCATGAAAGCAGGGCTTACCGGGCACTGACTGAGACGATCATGTTCGACGACACCATTGAGAGGGCGGGCCAACTCACCAGCGAGGACGACACGCTGACCCTCGTCACCGCTGACCACTCCCACGTCTTCTCCTTTGGTGGCTACCCCCTGCGAGGGAGCTCTGTCTACGGTAGGCCTGGGGAGAGAGGCAGGTACTGCCTCATAAATTATGTGGGTGAAATCTGAGCCTCAGTTTCCTCCTCTGTCAAATAGAGGCAATGCTGGCACCTGCCCTGTAGGGTCTCAAGGACTAAGCTCCGGGCCAGAAAAAGGTGGCGGTGCCTAGAACATGGCAGGCACTCCCACAGCTGTGTTCAGCTCAACCACGGGACCCCTCTCTCTGCAGGGCTGGCCCCCGGTGAGGCCCAGGACGGGAAGGCCTACACGGCTCTCCTATATGGAAACGGTCCCGGCTATGTGCTCAAGGACGGTGCCCGGCCGGATGTCACTGAGAGCCAGAGCGGTGAGTGCCAAGGGGTGGTCCTTTCAGGGTGACCAGGGTGCCAAGGATGGGGGACTGGCGGCAAGGGGTCTCCTCCCGTCTGCCTGGAACTGAAGCCTCCTACCGAAACTCAACCCTCCTACAGGGAGCCCCGAGTACCGGCAGCAGTCAGCAGTGCCCCTGGACGAAGAGACCCACGCAGGCGAGGACGTGGCGGTGTTCGCGCGCGGCCCGCAGGCGCACATGGTGCATGGGGTGCAGGAGCAGAGCTTCATAGCGCACGTGATGGCCTTCGCCGCCTGCCTGGAGCCCTACAAGGACTGCGACCTGGCGCCCCCTGCCGGCACCACCGACGCTGCGCACCCGGGGCCCGCCGCTTTCTCCATTTCACTTCCCCTGCTGGCTGGGATCCTGTTGCTGCTGGGGGCGGCCACTGCTCCCTGACTGCCCTGTCCCTGGGGCTCCTGCCTCCCCATCCCGGAGTTCTGCTCCCCACCTCCAGTGGTCCTGCCCGGCCTCCATTCCGAGCTGTCTCCCCTGGAGTCCGCACACAGATGTCTTGCCATGGAACCTTCACCTCCCCGTGCACCCTGGGGACTCAGCCCGACACCAAACCTGCCCCTTGGCTGCTCCCGGACTCCGTGCCCCAACCCCTGGGACTTCGGATTGTGTCCTGCGGCTGCCTGCACCCCAGGAAAGGATGGCTGAGATGTGCAGATCGCCTGAGGTTGGGAGTTCAAGACCATCCAGACCAACATGGTGAAACTCCGTGTCTACAAGAAATACAAAATTAGCTGGGCCTGGTGGCACATGCCTGTAATTCTAGCTACTTAGGAGGCTGAAGCAGGAGAATCACATGAACCTGGGAGGCAGAGGTTGCAGTGAGCCGAGACTGGGTCACCGTGTTCCAGCCTGGGCAAGGAGACCAAAACTCTGTTTCAAACAAACAAACAAAAAAACTTGTTTAAAAATAAAAATAATAAATAAATAAATAAATAACAGGCCAGAATAAACCCTTGGATAAAAAAGTTTATAATGGTAACATCTGAAATGTAAAAAATTAAAAAGTAAAAATAGTTTAAAATAAAATAAAATAAATAAAAATGATCAATGAACCCCAAACAGAATAAACATGAAGTGGAAAACCACACAAAACCAATCATTATGTTATTTAGAAAAATATGCCTATATGATAAAACAATCAACAACAAAGGCAAAATTAACCAAAATACAGGATAGTCATTACCTCTAGGGAGAAAGAGGGGAGACAGAGGCTTTCAATGTCTTAGTAAGCCTTTTTGTCAAAAGAGTTATCCCTGCAGAACAAATAAGGACTTACTTTTGTCATTAGTCTTTAAATGGAATAGATGGAAAATATTCTTTGCATGACCACAACAAATGGAAAACATGTTAATGAAGTTCAGCCATTCTTCTGTTTTACTTAGAATAACAGAAGCCAGAAACCTGGGAGTAACCCTGACCACGCCCTCACAGACCAAGTGCAGTTAATTATCACTTCTGATCACACCCATAATGCCAGCACTTTGAGAAGCCAAGGCAGTCAGATCACTTGAGTCTAGGAGTTCGAGACCAGCTTGACCATGATGGTGAAACCCCATCTCTACTGAAATTATGAAAATTAGCCAGGCACAGTGACTCATGCCTGTAATCCCAGGTACTCGGGAGGCTGAGGCAGGAGAATCAATTGAACCCGGAAACAGAGGTTGCTGTGAGCCGAGATCATGTCACTGCACTCCAGCCTGGGTGACAGACTGAGACTCCACCTCAAAAAAAAAAAAAAAAAAGGATCAGTTTCTATTCTTTCCCACCTATAGCACCAAACCCTGGCTCCAGCCACCTTGATTCTCACCAGAAACGCAAATACCTCCCTTTTCCTTACACCCTGATTTCTAATCCAATCTCCATACAGCAGCCAAAGCCAACATTTTAAAACTTTGTCTCCCTTCAACTTGAATCTCTCTCACCACCCTCCTTTCTTATGAGAAGCAACAAAGACACAAGTAGATTGCCCAAGGCCACACAGCAGGACACGCAGAGGCAGGATTCAAAATCCGCTAGTCTTCACAGTCCACGTGTCGTGTCTCATCCACCCACTATCCCACCTTGGGTGATCCCAGAAAAGGGTCAGCCACTGCCCTAACACAGGGTGATCTCAGACAGAGACAGACCTTTTCTCCTCCCGTCGCCACCTCACCTCCTTCATCAGCCTAACTCCTAGTAATCCCTCATTCTCAGCTCCAACCACACTTTCTAGAAAGGGCCTTCCTAGCCCTTGTCCTAGTCCAGAAACTCCCCACAATTTGATGGTCGGTGCTTCGTACATCTCTCAAGACATTCCTCTTCCGCTAGATTGTGCCCTCCACGAGGACACAGCTCTGTTTTGCCCACCCTCGAGCACTCTGCTTCCTCTCCAGACACACTTCTCCTGAATGTGGGCCCAGATTGGTGGCTCAAGTCTGCAATCCTAGCAGTGCTGGAGGATCACTTGAACCCAGGACTTCAAGACCAGCATGGGTACCACAGGGAGATCCTGCCTCTCAAAAACATTAAAAATGAGCTGCGTGAGGCCGGGCGCGGTGGCTCAAGCCTGTAATCCCAGCACTTTGGGAGGCCGAGGCGGGTGGATCACGAGGTCGAGAGATCGAGACCATCCTGGTCAACATGGTGAAACCCCGTCCCTACTAAAAAGTGCAAAAAATTAGCTGGGCATGGTGGCACGTGCCTGTAATCCCAGCTATTCAGGAGGCTGAGGCAGGAGAATTGCCTGAGCCCAGGAGGCGGAGGTTGCGGTGAGCCGAGATCGCGCCATTGCACTCCAGCCTGGGTAACAAGAGCGAAACTCCGTCTCAAAAAAAAAAAAAAAAAAAAAAAAAAAAAAAAAAAATGAGCAGCGTGTAACGTAGATACATGGGAGGCTGATGTGGGAGGATCGCTTGAGCCCAGGAGGTGTGTCCTGACTGCACCGCTGCACTCCAGCCAGACCCTGTCTCAAAAACATAAATTAGTAATAAAAACCAGAAAGAAAAAAAGTGATGGGGGGATATGTGAACTGGAGAAATACTTTCTAAGTCAGCCTGAGGCTATGAAAACATCAGAGCCCCATGTGAGAGGCTACAGTTCTGGGTGTGCCCAGGGCCCATGGAAAACAGACTCGCCCCAGGCTCCATCTACCTGTGCAAGGGAACAGGGGTCAACGTCAAGTGCACAAGTTGCTATGGAAGACGCAGCCCAGGCCTGGCTGGCCCAGGGTGCTGGACTCTACCCCACCTGCATCATCCAAACATCAGTGCAAGTGCACCCACGAAAACACAATCACACACAACATGTGAGCAGTGGGCGAGACTGGCGTGGCCCCGCTCAGTGTTGTCACCATTGGACCCACAGGGGCTCACAGCCCTGGAGCTCTGGGCCCAGATTCCTGCCAGCCCCACCTATCCAGGCTAGGGACAGATGACGGAGCAAGGGGGTGCCAGGGCAGCAAGGCCCCCACGTGCTCCCTTCCCACATGGCCCAGGCTTTTGGCATCAGGACACTAAACCCAGGCCCTGGCGCGGGCTGTGTGCCTCCAGCTTCCCCTCCTCTCGGCACCAGAACAGAGCCTGGCCCCAGCTCCCAGGAAATACAGAAATCAATGGGTGAATGAGCGAGTGACAGGGTGTCTTGTTCCACACAAGACAATGAGCAGGGGTGGGGGACGGGCTCCTGGCTGCAGGAGGAACACCACACTCACCCAGATGGCATCTGCACCCAACACCCACCCTTCCCTGGGGGACGCCTGGTCCCACCTTGAGCCGCCTGCTTCAGGACCCCAGCCCAGCCCAGCCACGCCCTGCCACTCCCTTGAGACAGTGTGGCTTCAATTAAGAGGTTGGGTGGGGTCAAGGTGGCAACAAGGGGAGGGCCCGGGACAGTTCTCCTGGATTTAAACCCAGGCGGCCTGGAGTGCAGCTCCTACTCCATACCCGGTATTCCCGCCTCACCGCTCTCCTGCTGTCCCCAGACATGCAGGGACCCTGGGTGCTGCTGTTGCTGCTGGGCCTGAGGCTACAGCTCTCCCTGGGCATCATCCCAGGTAATGAGGCTCCCCCCGCTGCCCCTACACACAGGGAGCCCCCCAGCCCAGGCTGACCTGATCTTTGCTCTCCCCCTGGCCAGTTGAGGAGGAGAACCCGGCCTTCTGGAACCGTCAGGCAGCCAAGGCCCTGGATGCCGCCAAGAAGCTGCAGCCCGCACGGACAGCCGCCAAGAACCTCATCCTCTTCCTGGGCGACGGTGAGTGAGCAAGGCTGTCCGGCCCGCAGCCCTCGCAGCCCTCGCAGCCCTGGCACCCGGACCGTCGGGGCTTCCGGGACAGCCCTGGGGCCCAAGCCTCACACATTTCTGCTCCCTCAGGGATGGGAGTGTCTACGGTGACAGCCGCCAGGATCCTAAAGGGGCAGAAGAAGGGCAAACTGGGGCCAGAGACGCCCCTGGCCATGGACCGCTTCCCATACGTGGCTCTGTCCAAGGTGAGGGCTGGGCCACCTCGGAGTCCTCCAAGCAGAGAAGAGGAATCCTGGCTATGGAGGGCGGGAGGCGGGAGGGACCCTAAGCTGCTGGGGCTGGAGTAAGAGCTGGAGGCGGCTGCAATCCCAGAGGACAGAGATCATGGTCTGGGTCTGGGTGTCCGCCCCAGAGAAGAGCCCAGAGTGTCTCTGTCCCCAGACATACAGCGTAGACAAGCATGTGCCAGACAGCGCAGCCACAGCCACGGCCTACCTGTGCGGGGTCAAGGGCAACTTCCAGACCATCGGCTTGAGCGCAGCGGCCCGCTTTAACCAGTGCAACACGACCCGCGGCAACGAGGTCGTCTCCGTGATGAACCGGGCCAAGAAGGCAGGTGAGCTGGGGCCCGCTGCGGGGTCAGGGCCGGGTCACAGACCTCTGTCGCATACCCTGACCTCTGTCCCCCTCAGGGATGTCAGTGGGAGTGGTGACCACCACACGGGTGCAGCACGCCTCCCCAGCCGGTACCTACGCGCACACGGTGAACCGCAACTGGTACTCGGACTCCAACATGCCTTTCTCCGCCCGCCGGGAGGGCTGCCAGGACATCGCCACGCAGCTCATCTCCAACATGGACATTGACGTGAGACCCCAAGGCCAAGGGCTGGGGCTGGGAAGACAGTAGCAGGGGACACCAGCTGAGAGCCAGGCAACCAACAGCCTGATGGGGCCAGCAGGGTCTGGAGGTGGGATTGGGGGGGCAGAAGGTGCAGTCCAGGCTGGGCCCTTCCCAAAGCCCTAGGGAGAAGAGCCAGGGGCTGTGCATGAGGAGGAGGCACGGGGCTAGCCCGACCCCAAACCCACCTGTCCCATTCTCTGTCTCCAGGTGATCCTTGGTGGAGGCCGAAAGTACATGTTTCCCATGGGGACCCCAGACCCTGAGTACCCACGTGACTACAGCCAGAATGGGACCAGGCTGGATGGGAAGAACCTTGTGCAGGAATGGCTGGGGAAGCACCAGGTGATGGGGGCTGGTGGGTGTGGGGGGCACAGCAGGGGGAGTGCAGGGGTGTGGGGCTCGGGGCTGTGGGCTGAGGCCTGGCTGTGTCCCTGCAGGGCGCCCGGTACGTGTGGAACCGCACTGAGCTCATGCAGGCTTCCCTGGACCCGTCTGTGACCCACCTCATGGGTAATGACCCCCTTCCTGCCCTGGCAACCCTCGTATGGCCTCAGATGGCATCTTCCGAGCCTGTGTGCAGGTCTGCCAGCACCCTCCCACCCCCAGCCTGACAGTCACCACGGGACCCCTTGTCCCACAGGTCTCTTTGAGCCCGGAGACATGAAATATGAGATCCACCGAGACTCCACACGAGACCCCTCCCTGATGGAGATGATGGAGGCCGCCCTACGGCTGCTGAGCAGGAACCCCCGAGGATTCTTCCTCTTTGTCGAGGGTGTGTGATGGCGCCTGGGGAGTGGGAGTCGGGGGTTGGAGCAGGGCAGTTTCAAGCATCACTCCCCTCTGGCCTTCCTGCAGGCGGCCGCATTGACCACGGTCATCATGAAAGCAGGGCTTACCGGGCACTGACTGAGACGATCATGTTCGACGACACCATTGAGAGGGCGGGCCAACTCACCAGTGAGGAGGACACGCTGACCCTCGTCACCGCTGACCACTCCCACGTCTTCTCCTTTGGTGGCTACCCCCTGCGAGGGAGCTCTGTCTACGGTAGGCCTGGGGAGAGAGGCAGGTGCTGCTGCATCAATTATGTGTCTCAGCCTCCGTTTCCTCCTCTATGAAATGGGCGTGTTATACGGAAATTTTGGGTGCTGCAAAAGAAGTAGCACTCGAATATAAATTTTCTTAGCAAGGCAATTCTATAGAAGGGTGTGTCTCACAGATGGAGCAATCCTGAGCACACAGGATCATAGGTGGTGAAGGGGTTCTTATCCCTGACGCAGGTAGCCCCTACTGCATTCCCTGTTGGCTATGGTTTGATGCAACAGTCCAAGCTAATTCGGATTGGCTATTTTAAAAGGAGCAGGAGTAGGAGCCAGAGTGGCAGGGTGAACAGTCTGTCCATAATGACAGTTACAAAACGGGTCACTAAAGGTGACTCAGGTCAAAGCAGGTGACCAGGGTGAGTCAGGATAGAGCAGATGACCGGGGGAACAGATGTGAACTACTGATTAGAACTGGTGGAAAAGGTTGTTTACTAAAACTAGGAAGTTAAACTTTAAAATGGAGGACAAAGAACCGAACTGATTATTTGAAGAGAAATTTAGAACTAATTTTATCCAGCAGGCATAATGCTGGCACTTGCCCTGTATGGTCTCAGTAACTAAGCCCCTGAACAGCCGAAGAGCAGCGGTGCCTAACACAAGGGAGGCACTCCCACAGCTGTGTTCAGCTCAACCACGGGACCCCTCTCTCTGCAGGGCTGGCCCCCAGCGTGGCCCGGGACGGGAAGGCCTACACGGCTCTCCTATATGGAAACGGTCCCGGCTATATGCTCAAGGACGGTGCCCGGCCGGATGCTACCGAGAGCCAGAGCGGTGAGTGCCAAGGGGTGGCCCTTTCAGGGGGACCAGGGTGCCAAGGATGGGGGACTGGCGGCAAGGGGTCTCCTCCCGTCTGCCTGGAACTGAAGCCTCCTACCGAAACTCAACCCTCCTACAGGGAGCCCCGAGTACCGGCAGCAGTCAGCAGTGCCCCTGGACGAAGAGACCCACGCAGGCGAGGACGTGGCGGTGTTCGCGCGCGGCCCGCAGGCGCACCTGGTGCATGGGGTGCAGGAGCAGAGCTTCATAGCGCACGTCATGGCCTTCGCCGCCTGCCTGGAGCCCTACAAGGACTGCGACCTGGCGCCCCCTGCCGGCACCATCGACGTTGCGCATCTGGGTCGGGCCAAGGTCCCGGAGTTGCTGCCTCTGCTGGCTGGGATCCTGTTGCTGCTGGGGGGGGCCGCTGCTCCCTGACTGCCCTGTCCCTGGGGCTCCTGCCTCCCCATCCCGGAGTTCTGCTCCCCACCTCCAGTGGTCCTGCCCGGCCTCCATTCCGAGCTGTCCCCCCTGGAGTCCGCACACCTATGTCTTGCCATGGAACTTTCACCTCCCCGTGCGCCCTGGGGACTGAGCCCATGACACCATGCCCTTTGCTCTAGCTTGCCTTCAAATTTCAACCCCAACAACAGGGGCTGGGGATTTGTGCCTGGCAGCTGCCTGCATCCCAGGAAAAGAGGCTCAGACTACCCAGCCCTGGCCCATATCCCAGACAGGCTCCCTCCCCGGGGACATGAGGCACCCAGATGTAGCCCCTGTACCTTTCTTAGCTTCAGTCATGGCAGTACCTGAGGGACATGGGGACTTGGGAGCATCAGGATGCCTGTAGAAGCGGCTTCCTGCCACCCTGCAACCCATCCCGCCAGCCAACGAGGCTGCTGTGGCCGGGATTCCCAGGGAGTCTTTGACTCAATCATCTGCTGTCCCTCCACTGGGCTAATTCTACACCCCTGCACCCCTTCTAGGGGCCCAAGAGGCAGAGAGGCTTGCCCCAAGTCACAGCCACTCTGATGCTCGAAGCCCCCTAAGGTCAATTTCAGCATCCACCTGAGATCCGAGGAGCGGTTGGGAAGCTCTGGGTGCAGGGCAGCAGCCCAGACCCAGAGCCCCTCCCAGGACATCTGAACTCTGGGCATAGATTTCTCAACAAAGAAGACTCCCCTGCCTCCTCAAGGCCTCCATTCTCCTGGGAGACAAAGCAGTAAATAATAAAAGGAAGTGTTAGACAATGCAATGCCAGTACTACTTCCTAGGAGAAAAATCATGAGTGCCTGTGGGCACGGTGTCTGGAGGGGTGGATAACGCAGGCCAGGAGGGGCTGCTGAGGAGCAGACGGTTGAGCAAGAGACCTGAACAGAGTTGGGGCTTCAGCAAGGTGGCACAGCAGTGCAAAGGCCCTGGGGCAGCGCCAGCAGCCAGTAGCTGGATCAGAGGGTGGGTAGCGGGGGGAAAGCCTGTCGGGTCAGGAGAGTGGGGGGCATAGGGGGCCGTGAAGTCTGGGTGGAGGGGTGTGGTTGGAGGTCTTTGAGGGGGCTATGGCCCACCCTGGTTGGGAAATGAGCGCTCTGGCTGCTGCCAGGAGAAGGGTCTGGTCTTTTGGGTGGAGGTGTGGGTGGTAGAGGGTAGAGGGCAGAGGTGAGAGCTGGGGAAGGAGCAGGTGCTGGTGTTTCTGACCTCCCTCCAAAAGCATTCCGGAGCACCCATCCCAGGACACCCATACTTAGTACCACACCTGCCCCAAGAGAACACTGAAAGAATAAAGGTGAAATCAGCCACATTTTCCAGCAAACTTTACACTATTACAAATTTATTTGTACATTTACAGTGGTACAAGAAGCACTCTGTCAACATGGTGAAACCCTGTCTCTACAAAAAGTACAAATATTAGCCAAGCTCGGTTGCCCATGCCTGTGGTCCCAGCAACTCAGGAGGCTGAGATGGGAGGATCGTCTGGGCCCTGGGAAGGTGGAGGCTGCAGGGAGGTATGATCACGTCACTGCATTCCAGCCTGTGTGACATAGCAAGACCCTGTCTCAAGAAAAAAACAAAGAAACTTAGTGCTCACTAGAAATAACTAGAATGATGGTATGCTTCTTTGTTTATGAAAATTGAATTAACATTGTAAGACATCTATTTACCAGGCATGGTGGTTGCATGTCTGCAATCCCAGCACTTTGGGAGGAAGAGGGGTCAGGATTGCTTGAGTTCAGGAGTTGCAGACCATCCTGGGCAAAATGGTGAGACCTCACCTCTACACAACATTTTTGTTTAGTTTTGAGGCGGAGTCTCACTCTGTCTCCCAGGCTGTAGTGCAGTGGCAGGATCTAGGCTCACTGAAAACTCCACCACCTAGATTCAAATGAATCTCCTGTCTCAGCCTCCCATGTAGCTGACATTACAGGCACCTACCACCATGCCAGGCTAATTTTTTGAATTTTTCATAGAGATATAGTTTCACTATGTTGGCCAGGCTGGTCTCGAACTCCTGACCTTAAGTGATTTGCCCGCCTTGACCTCAGGAAGTGGCGGAATTACAGGCATGAGCCACCATGCCCAGCCCCCCAAATTTTTAAAAATTAGCCTGGTCAGGTGGCACAGGCCTGTCATCCTAACTACCTGGGAGGCTGAGGTGGGAGGATCACCGAGCTCAGGGTAGTGAAGGCCGCAGTGAGTTGAGATTTCGCCACTGCTCTTCAGCCTGGGTGACAGAGCAAGACCCGTCTCTAAACAAAACAAAACATGTATTTGACAACCTGGATTTCAGGACAGTTTTATCAATTCCGGGTTTCAGTGGTTGTTAAAAAAATATGAGAGGTGAACAGAGATGGACTCCATTAGCTGGCCTTACTAAATAATCACACTCATTGTTACATTCCATCCACCAAATATGCAAAAGGTTTTGGTGAAATCCAGCTACTATCTTTCCAGTTGCCCGTTAGTTCCTCTTTCTAACCAACTGGTAGGTGCTGTATGATTATATTTCACATGAGCGCTCACATCCAAGGACTTCTATTTTTTTTTTTTTTTTTTTTTTTTTTTTTTAGACGGAGTTTCGCTCTTGTTACCCAGGCTGGAGTGCAATGGCGCGATCTCGGCTCACCGCAACCTCCGCCTCCTGGGTTCAGGCAATTCTCCTGCCTCAGCCTCCTGAGTAGCTGGGATTACAGGCACACGCCACCATGCCCAGCTAATTTTTTTTGTATTTTTAGTAGAGACGGGGTTTCACCATGTTGACCAGGATGGTCTCGATCTCGTGACCTCGTGATCCACCCGCCTCGGCCTCCCAAAGTGCTGGGATTACAGGCTTGAGCCACCGCGCCCGGTTGACTTCTATTTTTTAAAAACTGGACTAGTTTTAAAACAGATTGTTCTGGAATTAGATCATTCTGTTCTCTAGTTTTTTGTTTTTGTTTTTGTTTTTCATGTGTAAGTATAAGGGCTTATCACTCAATCACATTATTGACCCCCAAATCAAGAACCACAAAATTATTTCCAAACTTCTATTAAGAAATGTGCCCTTTCCTGAGCATGAGGTTTCATTGAAAGATAATTACCTTCTCATTTTTTCATTGAAATGACGTTTTTACCTGAAGGACACACAGAAAGTATATTTATATTTTCAACCTTCTCATGGTGTGCCTAAATAGAGAGCTTTTCAGTTCAAAGTCAGCAAATTGGACTGTAAGAAGGAGGGAGGGAGAGTTAGGAAGACAGAGGGAGAACTCAGGACATGTGGGTTCAGTACTTTGTCATTCTGTGCCTCATTCTATGTGGCCGGAAAGCTTCCACGGTTACACCCAATCCCCTTACCAAGTATCTTAAAGTTTCTATTTATGTTTTGGTTTTTTGTCTTATACAGAGTCTTGCTCCGTCGCCCTGGCTGGAGTGCAGTGGGAATTCTGGTGCCTCAGATTCCTGAGTAGCTGGGATTACAGGCGCACACCACCACGCACGGTTAGTTTTTGTATTTTTAGTAGAGACAACGTTTCACCATATTGGCCAGGCTCTAAGTTTAAGTTTCTGTTCCATGGCAATCTAAGCTTTACAAAATCAACCCCACTGCCTTCTGCAACGCCCCATTTATGCGCCAGGCTTCTTTCCTGTGCTGATTAGATGGGGGTGAGCCAATGACTGAGGGGTAAGGATGAGCCTACTGCTGCAC